TTGCCATATTTCTTGGATGGGTCTTAATATGGGATAGTTGTCCTGTTGGCTTTGCCTTACAGAAAATTTATGGACAATAGATATCCACGCATTTTACGATGCTTACATAAAATATCACATAACTTAAAATAAATTATAATATAACCGAAAACTACAGTAAGCTACATTACACGATGTTGCGAGAAAAAATGCAATAGCTATATGTTTCAGAGTTCACACAGGTAGTTGCTGCCGAAGGCAGCATACTAATCTTCACGGTGTTACTCTAGTGCCCAGTTTCGTTCACCGAGTTATAATTATTCGACGTGAAATCTCGATTTTCATTTCATTCAGGTGGGTCAAGGGGGACGATCTTTTCGGAAATATTCACCGTACATTGCTGATCCGCGACATCTATCGGTATCTATCCGGCTTGATTTAAAGTTTAGCCTTTTGTTAAGTATAAATTATGTCTTTAGTTGCTCGTGGAAGTATCCATCAGGGCCACGAACTCTTTAGTGAACAATCGCGAGGGAAACAAAGCTCGTTCATGTGTTTATCGGTGCCTCAAAACTGCTCAAGCCCGTTTTTCAGTGGACCACAGGTAAATTAGGTAATACTTCATAGATGTCCTCATTGGGCTGTATTTCTGCCTTCATTGGGCTGTATTTCTGCCTCATCGGGCTGTATTTGTGCCTCACTGGGCTGTATTTGTCAGTCATTGGGCTGTATTTGTGCCTTATTGGGCTGTATGTGTGCCTCAATGGGCTGCATTTGTACCTCATTGGGCTGTATTTGTGCATCATTGGGCTGTATTTGTGCCTCATTGGGCTGTATTTGTGCCTCATTGGGCTGAATTCGTGCCTTCGTTAAATGGGCTGTATTTGTGCCTCATTAGGCTGAATTTGTGCCTTATTGGGCTGTATTTGTGCCTCATTGGGCTGAATTCGTGCCTTAGTTAAATGGGCTGTATTTGTGCCTCAGTAGGCTGAATTTGTGCCACATTGTGCTGACTTTGTGCATCATTGGGATGTATTTGTGCCTCATTGGCCTGAATGTGTGCCTTATTGGGCTGTATTTGTGCCTCATTGGGCTGAATTCGTGCCTTAGTTAAATGGGTTGTATTTGTGCCTCATTAGGCTGAATTTGTGCCACATTGTGCTGAATTTGTGCATCATTGGGATGTATTTGTGCCTCATTGGGTTGTATTTGTGCCTCATTGGGCTGTATTTGTGCCTCATTGGGCTGTATTTATGCCTCATTGGGCTGTATTGGTGCCTCATTGGGCTGTATTTGTGCCTCGTTGGGCTGTATTTGTGCCTCGTTGGGCTGTATTTGTGCCTCATTGGGCTGTATTTGTGCATCATTGGGCTGTATTTGTGCCTCATTGGGCTGTATTTGTGCATCATTGGGCTGTATTGGTGCCTCATTGGGCTGAATTTGTGCCTCATTGGGCTGTATTCGTGCCTTAGTTAAATGGGCTGTATTTGTGCCTCATTGGGCTGTATTTGTGCCTCATTGGGTTGTATTTGTGCCTCATTGGGCTGTATTTGTGCCTCATTGGGCTATATTTGTGCATCATTGGGCTGTATTGGTGCCTCATTGGGCTGTATTTGTGCATCATTGGGCTGTATTGGTGCCTCATTGGGCTGAATTTGTGCCTCATTGGGCTGTATTCGTGCCTTAGTTAAATGGGCTGTATTTGTGCCTCATTGGGCTGTATTTGTGCCTCATTGGGCTATATTTGTGCATCATTGGGCTGTATTGGTGCCTCATTGGGCTGTATTTGTGCCTCATTGGGCTGTATTTGTGCCTCATTGGGCTGTATTTGTGCCTCGTTGGGCTGTATTTGTGCCTCGTTGGGCTGTATTTGTGCATCATTGGGCTGTATTTGTGCATCATTGGGCTGTATTTGTGCCTCATTGGGCTGTATTTGTGCCTCATTGGGCTGTATTTGTGCCTGAAAATCATTCGACCATTTTGACAACAGTCTGTAATTCATCGATTGACAAATATCTCTCACATGCAATCAGACCATTTTCAAAAGCATTTCGATACATACTGTCTCCTTGCAATAAAACACTGTCTATTGTAATCAAGTTAGTACCCAATGAGAAACAAAATGATGAAACAATTTGGTATATAAACTATAGAAATGCCTGCCAAGTTTCAATTATTACAAATGAGCATGAAGTTGGAGCTCCCTATGTTAAATTTGGTTCATCTTCGATGAACACTTTTACACAAAGTAAGGATGCTATTTTGATATTAGATGGGTATATGATGGCCTTAATTAATGCATGATATAAATTCCTTTTTCTATTGATTTGATACTCATCCACAAATTCTTTTGGTATATGCCTTACCCTAATGTTACTGCTGTTGTTTTTGAATTTGGAGAATCGCAATTTATTCTCAACTATTTAAAGATGTGGTACAGTCGCATCTGCGCATGTGCACAAAGGAGAACTCTTTTTATTATACAAACAGTTCATTTAGGTTTTTAAGTACTGTTTAATAAACGAGCAGGAGTGTTTTATTATGTTTAAAGACACGAGCGCGCAGCGCGAGTGGCTTTACACATAATAAAACACGACCTGCGAGTTAATTTTAATTAAACCTGATAAAACACTCCTAATTAGTATTCTTTAATTAATTTTAATTAATTATAATTTTAATTAATTATAATTTTAATTAATTTTAATTAAACCTGATAAAACACTCCTAATTAGTATTCTTTATATAAAGAATTCTAATAAGGCAGTATCTATTGTAGTTGTGTCCTCATTAGTTTTCTTTATATAAAGAACACTGATAGGCAGCATATCTATTGAATTTGTAGTCGTGTTTGAAGCCGTTTAAAAACGGCTTCAAACACGACTACAAATTCAATAGATATGCTGCCTATTAGTATTCTTTATATAAAGAAAACTAATGAGGACACAACTACAATAGATACTGCCTTATTAGAATTCTTTATATAAAGAATACTAATTAGGATTTTTTTATCAGGTTTAAAGCCACTGCACGTGACATATTATGGTTGACATGATTTGCCAATAAGCTTATGAATTATTAATGAGTGTTTGAAGTACTATTTAAAAAACGAGTAGGAGTGTTTTACTAGGCTTAAAGCCACGAGCATGCAGCGCGAGTGGCTTTAGACCTAATAAAACACAACCTTGCATAATAAGTCAATTCTTTATATAAAAATCTTTATATAAAAATCTTTATATATAAAAATCTTTATATAGTCTGCATAACAATGGTCTTTTGTTAAAGTGTTCTTTAGCTGGTATAAAGACGTATGCACGTGACTAATTTCTTACTCAAGATTGGATAGTTGCTTCATTAATTATTAATGAGTTTTTTAATTCATTTTATAGTCTTGCAATGACTTTATTGTTGTGTCTTGATAAATTATTATACTCTAGAATCATGAAAATATAAATCGTTGTCAAAAAAAATCAATATTTTGGCGGATACCGACATGTAAACAAAGCCTTTGTTTACATATGGACTGTACCGCATCCGTAAACGTTTATTTCCGGCTTCAAGGCAGCACTTCACTTGCGGTAGTAATTACTAGTTATTATGCCATTTTGACACTATAAGAGTTAAAATTTGTCCAGCATGCAGAATCAAAGTTATGGCTGTTTAAGTGAGTATAGTCATAAGACCAGTTAATATAGCCGGTGGCGGAGCCAGTCCAACAATTTAGTCCCGCTAGTATGCAAATTAAAAATACTTATCATTATTCATTTCTTTAGAATTGATTGTTTTCACACTGAATGAACACGAAACATTTGCATAGCGGGACTAAATCGTCGGGCTGGCTACGCTACGGGGACTGATAATTGTGCCGTGCCAAAATATAAGCACATATGTTAGAAATTCCAGTGCTAAATTAATTGCTAATATATCATAATTATGATAAAGCTAGTCTGCTTGCAGACTGCATCCCGCTCCCGGCTCTCTTTGCGCAGACTATGATAAAGCAGGCCGTTAAAAAATTTACGCATTAGGCTCGGCACATGTATAAAGCACGGCGTCTAAACATATATTATATGTTTGTACATTATATACTGTAGGTTCTGCGCATGAAAAGTTCGCCGTCTAATATTAATGGGGACTTATATATACATGTAGGTGGCAAAATGAGTCTTAGATGCTCACTGATCATATAGCTGCCGTGTAAAAATGAAAAAATCTGAAAGATGTTATCAGGGGCGGAGCGAAGACTATCCTTTTCGGGGGGTGCAAGACAACTTTTTGCCGACAAAAGGGCGTGGCCAGCACGTTGTTAGGGCGTGGTCAAAACGAACCGTATTCATTTTGAAGTGATGTACAACGATCAAATCCGAGTAGTAAGATAATTTATTTTTAAAATAGGCGAAATAGTTCCTTAAAATACATGGTATAAATTTCAAAAAAGCACATCCAATCGTCATCAAACGACCAATTACAAACTAAACAAGTCAGTTTCTCTCTCTTCCGTTTGCGTTTTTGCTTCCTACTGTCCATACTTTTAAATTATCTTCGTATTTCTCATTGTATATAAGACCGTTAGGTGTAATTTCTAAGACTTTTACTGGCTTTACAAAATTAGGAAATGAAGCGCAGACGCATCAACAGTCAACACGCACATGTCACTTCGAGTTTCCTATGGTATCATATTTCACAAAATTGCAAGAAAATATAATACTATTAAATAGCGTATTAGCGTAATAAGTTCTTGGCCAATTTGGCTGAATGTTCGGAAAAGGGCCGAGCTTTCAGTCAACATACCCATCTTTTCGATCTCGCATTTTCTACAAATTTTCTACAAACAATCTCTCTCCAATCAGGTATTGTCTATTGGCTTGATCCAATTCATTTTACCGACAACTGATTTATTGTGCCGACGGACACGGCATTGGGGGGGTGCGGCACCCCCCCTTAGCTACGCCCCTGTTCAAAACAACAATCAGTTGAACTCAGCAACGCTAGCGAAGGTCAGCCAGGTTTATACGACCCCGAAGCTGTTACGACCTCGTGGTCTCCATCTCAGGAGTTTAAGGATTTTTTAGAGAAAAATTTTCGAAGGAAACTATCCTTTGATCACATTTGTGATATTTTGGAGGAACAAGCTATTCCTCAGGTAGATTTCCTCGTTGCTCCTACTCTAGATCCACCAATGTTGTCTCATGTTTCATATCAAAATAAAAAGTTTGTGCAGGAGCGAGATAAAGAGCTCGCTGTTGTTCAACGTGCTATGTTGAACATCACAGGCCCATTATGCACATTACATGACCGTTTAGAAAACAACCTTCCTGTTAGCCCTACTGAGCTCCAGTTGCTTGTTGAACAATCCCTTTGTTTAGTTGGTTCGGCTAACTCACAATTATCGGTACTCCGCCGCAAGAAGGTACTTGCATCCATTAACTAATCAAAAATTGATTTGGCAAATCAGCCATTGCCAAACGCTCAACGATGGCTATTTGGAGACGATTTTCCCTCAATTGCATCTAAGGAAGCCGAGCTATCACGGGGTTTGGCAAAAAATCTGGCTCCTACGGCCCCCCAAATTTATAACCAAGACCCGAAACAACCAAGCAGAAGTTTCTCTCAGTCTACTAAATACAATACTCAAAACAACAGGGGTCAGTTTTCTCGTACTCCCCAGTCTCGTTTCCAACGGCCCCCAAATTACCACACCACTTCGAACAGTGGCAGGTTCTGACAGCAGACCCATTTATTCTAGATGTTGTTGCCGGTTTAAAAATTCCTTTTCGTTGCGTTCCTGTTGAACAAAAAAAAATAAAAATGACTCAGGTCCGTTCAGAGTCAGAAACACCTATTTATGTACAAGGAGGTGTCAGTCCTGTTAACGAGGGGGGCAATTTGCAAAGTCCCCTTTGCCAAGTCCCCAAGAAGGACGGTGGTATGAGATCGGTTATAGATCTAAGCTCACTGAATCAATACATAGAAACATAACATTTCCAGATGGAACATCTTTCCTTGATAAAAACCTGCCTACAACAGGGGTACTACATGACAAAATTGGGCCTAAAGGAGGCATATCTTTCGGTTCTGCTGGAAAACCAAAACGTATCAGTTCAAAGCAGAAACGGCAAACATTGTGTTGTCAAATCCTGAAAATCGAGAAACCTGCATTAAGGAGCATAGCTCAACTGTTGGGGTTACTAGAATCTTACCGTCCGGCAATCTGGAAGGCTCCTTTTCACTTTCGTTTTCTTCAAGCTTTGCTTATTCGCAACCTGCACACTTCAGATCACAATTACGAAAATTCAACTTCCAGGCAAACAGAAAGCTGAAATCCAATGGTGGTTTCAGAATATTATGACAATCAATGGCAGCCCAATTACGGTGCCTCCCCCGGATGTAACAATTTTTCCGATGCCTCGAAACCGAGGTGGGGCAGTCACCAGCATTTATCAAACCGAGAAGTTGTTACACATCTATATTCTCGAACTGAAAGCTGTTTTTTCTAAGCCTGAAGTCTCTCTTGAAGAACTATCGTTCAATGACAGTGTCACTGAACATAACTATCGTTCAATGACGGTGTCATTGAACATGGACAATTCCACCGCGGTTACTTACATAAATCACAAAGGAGGCACCACCCGTTGCTATTACTAGAGCTGACATTATAACTGTGGGATTGGCACAAGCAGAGAGACTTATTTGTCATAGCCCACCACCTTCCAGGGAAGATCGACATTCAAGCAGACCTCGAATCCAGGCAGTTTCTGGACAACAGCGACTAGATGATCGAGCCCAAAAACTACACAACCGTTCCTGAGGAACTGTCTGACGGATCTCTTCGCCTCTCGTCTAACACGACAACTAACAAATTACATCAGTTGGAGACCAGACCCAGAGGCTCACCATTGGGATGCCTTCACGGTGAGCTGGAAGGGACTTGCGGGTTATGCTTTCCCTCCCTTCAACTTGGTCCCCATGGTCCTCGAAAGGTCTTGTCGGACCAGACAGAGATCTTCTTGATAGCTTCAATTTGGCAAGCTCAGCATTGGTGGCCTCTTCTACTAAGTCTTCTGGTACAACATTAATTAACCTGTCCTGCTACCAAACAGCAAACATCTCTTGAAGGATCCAACCGACCCTTCCTTAATTCACCGATGTACCCACGTCTACATTTGGGCGTATTTCACATCTCGAACGTTAGCAAACTATTCATTTTCAGCCACTCGTAGTTCCACACGCAAAACCTACGAATCTAATTGGCGTTGGAGCCGCTGGTGTTCTACAAGGCAAATTAATCCAATTTCATCAACTTTGAGCAACGTCCTTACCTTTTTGGTGGACTCACTCGCCTCCGGTTTGGAATATAGAACCATGAATGTTCTGAGATCTGCTTTGTTATCAACCCATCCACGAATCGACGGTTATCTAGTCGGACAACATCCATATGTTGTTAACCTGATGAGAGGTGTTCTAAACAATCGACCTCCAAAACCCAGATCCCTAACGTTCACCTTGTTGACTACAAAGACAACTCGTCCAGATGAAACTGTTTCTGCGTTTTATACTTGTTTCCCAGATGACAAAAGGTTATGTCTGATAGCTTGTTTCCAACAATACATATCAATGACGGTTGAATTTAGAAGAATTATGAAGGACCAACCTAAGTTGTTTCTTTCATTTATTATACCTCACCGAAACAATTTTATTATAGACCAATGGTATGAACACCAAACTTTGGTCGTGTTGGGTTAAACTAATTGTAAACAGGTCTTTAGACTTATTGTATCTACAGAGCTAAATAATAAAGTTCTTTTTGGCGGTTCACCATTGTAGTGTTAAACTCTACCGCTAGTATTCTCATATATTTCGACCGGAGTTCCCGAAATATAATTCGAATTATACTAGGGCTGTTCCAGCCTGCAGGTATAATTTAGGTTATTTATATGAGGGAACGAAGGGAGAAATATATGATTCCCACCCTTATACCCGCCCAGTTCATCTCAGGGTTAAATAAGCCACAGGAGGATTATGGGACGGGTCAGATCAGGGGGGTGTTGGGGTTTTTGCCAGAGATTTCTTTGGGTTAAAATGTGATGTGAAGCACAGATTGGTAATGCCATACCGCTAGTATTCTCATATATTTCTCCCTTCGTTCCCTCATATAACCTAAATTATACCTGCAGGCTGAAACAGCCCTAGTATAATTCGAATTTTTTAGAATAAAATGAATAGTTAAAGGCTTAAACTAAACCAAATTATCTGAAATTTTGTACAGTAATTAAAAACCCAACCAAGTTTCCATCTATTAACTCAAAATATGATTACAACTTTTAAATTTTGTGCGCGAGCCATTTTTAGTTTGTTGGAAAAGACACACCCCCCTGGTTCACAAAATTTGAGTTTGAGAATTTTTTTTCATTATTCTACATTATAAGTACCTTAAGAAGCTATATATATATATATAAAACCGGATACAAGTAGGTGTTTTGCGAAATTGAGAGCAATTTCAAATCTGTTCAGTTTTTTTTTATACACCCTGTATAGGTAATCGGGTGTGCGGGTTGTGATAAGGTAGACTTCAATGATTTGGTTAAACCCTAACATTCTAATATTAATTCACCAAGTGAAGTGCAAGTAACCAAATCATTGAAGTCCACCTTATTTCACAACCCGCACACCCAATTACCTATATACAAGTACATTATTAATTACCTATATACAGTACGTTATTTTGAGGCACCTCGGGGATATGTGTTTATTCACCTCGGCGCTGCGCGCCTCGGTGAATAAATCACATATCCCCTCGTTGCCTCAAAATAACCTATACTTATAATTATCGTTAATTTGAATTTGAAAGGCTATACTTTTTTATACACACTGTACATACCCTCTGGTACATACCCTGTACGTTACAAAAGCTGAACTAGGAGTAAGTTACAAAACCGTTGTTGTAATTCAGATTGTCAGTTGTCAGTAAAGTCAATAAATATACCGTAGACGTATACCCCTGGTGTGTAAATCCAGGGCCCGCGGAGCGTATTAGAGAGTGGGGGGGGGGGGGGGCTAAATCATCAATAAACCCCCCAAGGAAAATGTTCAATTTTCTATTACCTTAAACGCTATTTCCTGCATTTTTGGAGGAACTTTAGCAAAAAATCTCCAAGACCATCGTCATAAAAAGTAACAAAATTTAGACCTTTTGGTGTAAGGTACACATAATGGGGTGCTTAGCCTTTATTCATTTTAATTAGATGCGAAAGTTAAAAATGCCTAGAAAAGGTTTAATTAATTTAGAAAGTTTCATTTAGATTTCTATTTTAATAATTTTGGCTGTCAAAAAAAGTGGGGGGGCTAAAGCCCCCCCAGGCCCCCCGTCTCCGCGGTCCCTGAAATCGCTAGCAGATTGAATAAAATATTTTGTAATTGGACACTAATTAGTCGGTTATCTCGAATGTACAAGTATCATGAGAGATGCCGCCAGTCCGCCACAGATGCTCAGTACATATGATACATAACAGTAAATAATATTGTTGAATATACATGGAATCGTCGGTCGGAATCGGGGGAAAGCTTCGTAAGATTGCGCGGCAAAATTTGCTTCTGATTCTGATAATAGTTGGCGTAATATGTGGCTTTATAATTGGGCTTTCCTTGAATGGCCACGTTCAAGGTAATCACTTCGATGATGAAGAAAGACGGGAAATAGTAATGTTGATATCGTTCTTGGGCGATATCTTTGTACGTCTCCTAAAGTTGCTCATTATTCCTTTAATAATTACGAGCATTGTTATGGCCGTCGCCTCGCTGGACACGAAGACAACAGGAAAGCTTGGTCGACGTACAGTTATTTATTATCTCGGTACAACGTTCATTGCCGTTATTATTGGTGTTATTCTGGTTGTTAGCATTCGGCCTGGAGAGACGGCTGTGCAACATGAAAAGCAACCATCAAGGCATGTGAGCGCATTGGATTCCATACTAGATCTTATAAGGTGAGAATTGTTGTATTTATATAGATTTATAATTACCATTTACCTGCAAGGCCCAAAGGTGAATTGGCTTTTGTGGTTCGCTATACATGCAGTACAGTATAAGCAGGCAGCTATAAGCAGCCTGAGCTATAAGCATCTGTGAAGTTGAACTTCCTATATACACATGCAGACTGCGTACGCAGGTCGTCTTGAAGGATGGTCCGTTTTGTGTATGAACACAAGTTATATATATACAACCTCAGACAAGCTATCGGAGAACTCAGCTATAGCTAATCGCTACCTAACTTACCACCGAGTTACTGTATACAGTGTTAGGCTACAACAAGATTAGAAGATTGAGCACTGGCAATGTAAGAAAGCCTTGTCAAACTCTGAGGTTCTTGGCGGTGGACGAAGAGGACAAAAAATTTGCACGCGTTGGTAGTGCATGAGATTTGGCATGATACAATATTCTGTTTACGCATCGCAATCGATTAGCTATAGCTGAGTTCTCCGATAGCTTGTCTGAGCTAGAAATTTGAGAAGTAATTAACTACTTCGCTACTGAAAAAATGTAGTTCGCTACAGCTACAACTGTTTTAAAAAAGTAGTTGCTGCTGACCCACTGTTGATAATTGCTTTATATTATCACTATATACGTAGCCTCTTGGACGGTCTACACTATATATATATTAAAGTGGCCCTGACACAAAAATTGATTTTTTGTGTATTGAAAGTACACATTATGTGGAGTGTTTTGGTGAAAGAATTTTTTTATTTCATTGAAACGAAAAAATTTTAGAGCCGTTTGAACACGCAAAATGTGGGCTTTTGTTGGCACGCGTCCGTGTTCGAAGGAAACTGGAACGAGCGATTTTTGTTACGTCACGCAAGTGAGTCGGGGTATTCTATAATTTATTCGACTGGTACCGTTGGCGCATATAGTCCATATACAAATATACTAGATTTGTGATAAAAAAATATATGCTTTTTTACTATGTTGCAGCTAACTGTACCAATAAACCATGTTTAAAAGATGGAATAAGTTTACACAATATTCCATACTTCAATAACGAACGCGCGGAAGCTAAAAGACGAAGAAAAGTATGGGTTTAATTGTTTGTGCCGTCAAAGCACAGGTCAAAGATAGACTTCGACTATATGCTCGGATCATTTTTGACCAGAGGATTACGAGAGGCGATTCTTTTCGTGTCTTTCGTTGACGGGGCTCGGCAAGCCTAACTATCCGAAGCTATTAAAGACTGACGATAATTTGCTTTGTTTTGATGATTCAATTTCGGTTTTACGGGCCCGCTAATAATATAAATATTTTGTAATACCGAAATGAAAGATGCAAATCTGAAGACACAAGCTTGAAAATAACACTCTAAATAGTGTTTTCGATTCCGGTTCGAATAAGACTATTACGAAAAAGATATTTCCAAAGGGGCCGAATTTATGTTCGGCGAAAGATATGACTAGTTTACATTGTTCGAGACTATAAATTGAGTAATATAATGAATTATGACACCGCTTGACCTATCAAAGTCAAAGACAAAGGTCATAAATAGCTATACCATCTGACTAAAACTATACCTGTATCTGACTTTAACACCTTCGTTCACCATACTTACTCGTTTGGATGGTGAGGTGTTTGCCCGGGTGACCGAGGGGTGGCCTGGAACGACTACTGGTACTACTGTTACTTGGACTCGGGTTAAGATCCATGCCAGTGGTATCTTGAGCAGACCACCCCCGCAGGGCTAACACCTTCACACCAATTAACAATTGGTGGAAATATAAAAGAACAGGAGAGAAAAAAAAATCTTTGTTCCTAATACGTTTACTACGCTTCCAACGCACAATGATTACTAATACCACCAATGCGCGGCCAACCTCTTATTACATACTCGCCCGGCCCCCTTTTGGTCACATGATGTGCCGACGTAACGAGGCTTGGTTCCCTAGCTGTTAACCTTTGTTATTGCATAACCTCATTTAACACCTTCGTTCACCATACTTACCCGTTTGGATGGTGAGGTGTTAGCCCGGGTGACCGAAGGGTGGCCTGGAACGACTACTGGTACTACTGTTACTTGGACTCGGGTTAAGATCCATGCCAGTGGTATCTTGAGCAGACCACCCCCGCAGGGCTAACACCTTCACACCAATTAACAATTGGTGGAAATATAAAAGAACAGGAAAGAAAAAAAAAATCTTTGTTCCTAATACGTTTACAACGCTTCCAACGCACAATGATTACTAATACCACCAATGCGCGGCCAATCTCGTATTACATACTCGCCCGGCCCCCTTTTGGTCACATGATGTGCCGACGTAACGAGGCTTGGTTCCCTAGCTGTTAACCTTTGTTATTGCATAACCTCATAAAAGTCTAAAACTATCGCTGAGAATTAGGAGATTTTGTTTCACTGAATCGAGTCGTAGTATTTTTGTCTTCATAGCATGCACTGAACCGGAGATATAAACTTTGCAAAGCCATAGAACGTCTACGTTAGCAGAGGGCCAGGCAAGATGCGCCAAATCTGAGACGCAGACTAAAAACAGTCGCTAATAATGGGAGACTAGTTTTATTTTATTTTTCTCGTGTCCCCTAGCTTTGTTTACCAATAACAATCCATAGTTTTACTCGTGAAGTGAAATTGTGATAATAGCGGCAGTTTTTCGTCACGTCCGCGTCGTGTAGATTTGGTGGTTTTAATGATAATACTAGGGACCTGGCGTGTTATTGATCAGCATCTTCCAACACAACATATATTCACCAGGTATAAAATTCGCACTGGAATCATCGGACTGATCGCTACTGTCGGATTCTGTTGTCGACATGATACTTTATAGAACCATGATAGAACTTAGAATATAAAAACACTTCAGCCGTTCAGCGATCGAAACCTTTGAGCTGATCAAAAGCGATAAAAGTCTAACAGACCGTCAAGATTTGACTCACTTGCGTGACGTCACAAAAAATGCTATCCCCAGACTCCTGTAGCCGACGTCCATGTGCCAAAAATTTATGTGTTTAAACCGCTCTAAAATTTTTCCTTTTCAATGAAATCAAAAAATTCTTTCACCAAAACACTCCACATATAATGTGTACTTTCAATACACAAAAAAATCAATTTTTGTGTCAGGGGCACTTTAAGGATAATAAGCTTTCCAGGAAGCTTACAGGAAGCTAGCTAGTTGTTTCACGGATTCTTGCATGGTACAGTGTAATTGCAAAATGAAAACGGTCTTTTCTTGCGTTTAATACGGTTCATGTTTAGTTATAAACTTGATATGTAAATCACAGGAACTACATAATAGGTTCATTTTAATTAATAAGCCAAAGAAAAGCCAGCAATTTGGGAGCAGAAATCAACTTCATCATGCAGTCTATCTGCATGTATGTTATTATCCTATAGCTCGGCTATTATATAGCCGACTGCATGTCTCATGTTCGATATCATCTGAAATATTTATAGATTAACTCTAAATCTTGTATATCGATATCCACGTCAACGTCTTAAAAACACGAACCTATATAATTATAGGCCTATATAATATACGAAATTATTTAAAGAAAGGTCAACCTGGTATAACACTTCATTTATTCTGACATGCCTATATAAGTAAGAATGGAATCGATATGGTGCACATTCAGAGATAGGTCAGTATAGGACACATTTCCAGAAACATTTGATGCCTAAGAATGGAATTGATGTTTCAAATATATTTCAAAAGACGATATATACCGATGGTCACCACAAAATAGAAAACCCTGCACCGAGATGTCTCGACAGTTTTTACTTTTTAGTGCGCGATATATATATATATATGACAAAATACAATATTCGTATCAGCCAGTTCGACATTTATATACAACAGAATAGCTGGCTACGATCCGAGAGAAACCAATACTAAAAATGTACTAAAGTAATAAAGTTTAATTTAGTACATTTTTAGTATTGGTTTCTCTCGGATCGTAGCCAGCTATTCTGTTGTATATATATATATATATATATATATATATATATATATATATATATATATATATATATATATATATATATATATATATATATATATATATATATATATATATATATATATATATATATATATATATATATATATATATATATATATCTGCCTCGGCCTTTTAAACATTAATAATATTATATACAAAATAAAAGCCACGACCAAAAGAAATTAGAATATATAATTCAAAAATTTAAATTTTCGACTGCATGTAACAGCGAACGAAGGTAACAGTAACGAAGGCTGTTACATGCAGTCGAAAATTTAAATTTTTGAATTATATATTCTAATTTCTTTTGGTCGTGGCTTTTATTTTGTATATAATATATATATATATATATATATATATATATATATATATATATATATATATATATATATATATATATATATATATATATATATATATATATATAGGGAG